TTTTTATATAACTGAATAACTTTATTCTGTAATGCATTGTTCATTTTGATCAATGACTTTTTGTCATCTTTCAAGTAAGGGGGCATCCATTAATCACGTGAGCGAGTTTTTAAGTATTTTTGGACCCCCCCTCTCCGTTGGTGATACATGGTGATATTCAAAATTACCCCACATCCCAAACCAAACATTACGTGTATTTTTAGTTACGTGAAAAAAAACTGTAAAAATTTTGAATGAAGTAATTTTTTTTGAAGATGTTTGATTTAACAGTATAAAAATAAATACACGTGATATCTTACTATACCCCTCCCTCCCTTATGTGATATTCGTGATTTTTTGTCAAAACCCCCCCCCCCTCCCCTAAAAAACCTCACGTGATTAATGGACGCCCCCTAACCTCATTACCCCTTTTATATAAGTTTACCACTTTTATAAAACATCAAGATTTTATTAAAAAAAAACTTAATCTCAGGGACAATTTGTAAGCATCATACTTAATCATTATTTGTTTACCATTTGTTTGATAAAGATGAAAACCAGAAGCATAGAAGATGTACGTTTAAGACTAGATGGTAATATGGTTAATAGTGGATGTGGCAAAACATCGCATCCAAGCTCTAATGTTTGTCGAGTGGCCAAAGTCTTCAACTGCGTTGTTTAATTTCATTAGTTGTTCAATATAGACCTCAGAATTGATAGTTCGGTTACGTGCTAAGAATAAAAATAGGCAATATTTCGTAATTAACTTTAATTGGACGACCAGAGCCTGTTTCATCTTCGTGTAGAAAATCAAAGAAATGTAATTTAGCAGAGATATTTTGACAGTCATTTTTCAAAGCTTTGTCACTATAAACAGCTCATAACGTTTTAAGAAGCGAAGATCTTTTTGTCCTAGACAGAAGTAAAAAAGCAAAAATATGTCAAAAATTTTGATTTGATTTCTTTCTTGATGACAACTAAATTGCCTACTTACAAATAACAATAGCTGAAACTTGGTTGTTATATATATATATATATATATATTATATATATATTATATTTATATATACACACAAGGCAAATGTACACTATACCTGGATAGTACGTTATTGCGTGATTTTTCATTTTGATCACCGGTCGGTAAATAATAATTTTATACAATACCACATAAACTATATTTGAATCCAACCAAAATAGCACGCTTTTCGAATTTAAAAATTAATTTTTAAAGCCGTGTGGAGTTTCTTGGCGCATCGGTCGTACCTGATTGCCGTTTTTAAGAGAACGGAGCGTCCGACTTTAGCGGTTTCGGAGATCTAGTAAAAAAGTAAAAAAAAAATGTTTTCCCAAAAGTAATCATTTCGTCAACAAAAGCAGAATTTGACAACACAATCATTCTAATCGGATGCTTATTTCTCTCAAATCTGCAGTTTTGCAAAATTAGCTCCGTATGTCTGAAACGGCTGGACCTGTTTTTGCCAAAAACTAATCATCACTTTTCCCCATCATTACGAATTGAACGTTTTTTGGATAATTCAAATCGGATGCTCCGCCATCTCAAAAACTTTATTTCTAATTTCTGCACTGTTTGCTTCGTCTCTCCGAAAACGTCTGATATATATGTGTGTGTATATATATATATATATATATATAGAAATTCAATATATATATATATATATATATATATATATATATATATATATTTGAATAGTCTTGAATTTGATGTTGATATATATGTTTAGTTTGAGTTAAAAAGTCGGGTGTTAGATCAATAAAAATCGTTATATAACGATTTGTTTTTTTAGAGATGTTCAATTACGACGTTTCAGAACTAGATATGTTATCAACAGGTTATTCTGTCAAACAATTATTCATATAGACTAACACTATTAATGATGATTACAAAATATTCAGAAAAAAAGAAAGGATTATGTATCATAAAAAAGTAAAAGAAATTTATAAATTTGAGTAGCAAAATGTATGTACATGCGATATTGATCTAAAAATCCATATCACTATTTTTTTTCGAGAAAATTTTTCGAGTAAAGTCAAAATTTTAAAATATTCTTTAGGGATTTTTTACGAGTGTTTTTAACGAGGATTTAAAGAATAATGAAAAAATAGTGATATGGATTTATAGATCATTGCAGGTAAATAATTTTTGCTTCCCAATTTTATAAATTTTTCTTATTTCTTTCTATTTTTTCCTTACTTTCTTCTGGTGCATAATCCATTCCTTTATATATTTTCTTAATATTGTGTAATAATCAGTATTAATAAGGATAGTCTATATAAAAAATTGTTTTTGACCGAAAAACCTTATCTAGTTTCGAAACGACGTAATTAATTATCTCCAACAGACAAGTTATTCTTTAATTATTGGATTTATTGTTCAGAAAAGAAACTCAGAAAGAAATATATATATATACTAGCTGACCCGACAGACGTTGTTCTGTACCCATCCCTACAATTTTTCAATATTTTATACTAATATTTACTGCTTAGTTAAAAATAATAATTACTGTTTTTTGAATTACTATTTACACCAATATATGAGTGATGTTGAATGTAGAACTGTTTCAAATAAAATGATTGTTCTCAATTCCCACACTTTAATTATTCAATTAACAAATATTAAAAAATGTTCAATAAAATTGTATATTAAAAATTATACACTGCGATTTACAGAACAAATTTATTTCCAATAGCTCAATTTTATTTTATTGCATTTAAGGGTTATATAGTATTTTTAGTCATACCTGTAGATGTGGATGTATAAATGAATGATTTTTTGATTATTCACGACTAAAACATTGATTTTCCAAATTTATCACACTAAAAATAATCGTCTGCCTTTGTGATTTATGGTTATAGCATAAGATACACGTGTTGAAAATTGAAATCTTTTAAAAAGTACAACAAATTCAGAAAGAATTAATATATAGCATTCGCGGCAAAGGTGCAATATCACCTTTTATTTTTCTACCCAAGATATATGCTTCAATAATGTTGCCTATAATTTTTATAATTTCGTACCATATTTTAACTGGCTTTTAGTAATTTTAATATCTAAACTACATTTTTTTCTCCAATAAATCAATATACGTTATTGCTTAAGTTTATATTTGAAGTGAATTAATTTGTCAAATCCTGTTCACATGTGCTCTATTCAACTTACGATCAACAAAATTATTGCTCTGTGAATTTTTTTACTGTGCTCCAATTTACTTGATATTTTGGAAATAGGCTAATCTTTATCTTAAGTTCAGAAGTGAAAACAATTTGCACTCCGTCACCATCCACCGCATTAATTGGATTATTACTTTTTTAATTCTGATTTTATCAGAACTTGTAATACACTATTTTAAAGGTGATTAAATAAGCTACAACTTTCTCTATCATTAATTTTACCGTAACTTCTCTTATTGTAAAACGGCGAAGGGTTAAAGGGCTCGAAAGACCTCTGGTTGGAAAGCTCCTTAATTAATCATACATCTATCAATATTTGTGTAACGAAAAAATAATAAACAACAATAATTAGTCAGAAAAATACCTCGAATTTTCATATATATATACTTTTATACGTATTCTTTCAGAGGTATTATGATGAGAAATTGGTTGTTTCTTTTTAAATGTTTTTTTTCATGAAATCATGAGTTTTTTGAGAATCATTTGTACTAAAGTTGTGGTATTTTCTAGAATCCATCAAGATCTCTTAAACCAAGTTAATTCTAGATTGAATACGATTATGTTTAATTTTGGTGGATATGGCACTCAAAGTATTTGATTTAAATGAAAAAAAAAACATTGCATGCGTCCTTTATCTGCATGATAGCTCACTCATTTTACACGCAGAAGTACTCATTTTAAAGCTTATTTTGAGCACTATAAAAACCCAATTTCATATCTAGCCTAATAATGTTCCTAAAACACTATAAAATAACGATTTATTAAGATTTTAATTGATATAATTGTGCTCATTACATGATTTTCGTTAAAATGTATATTTTTGAAGGTATTAGCAAAAATATTCAGTAGCCAGTAACTTGAAAAGTATTTCCTTTTTTGAAAAACATTATTAAATATTTTTCTCGTATAATTAGTTCTTTTATCGATACCCAACGTTATTTTGAAAAAAGTAAAATTACACCACTGAAAAGAAATGTCATCCACCCGAGAAGTGGTAAAGGAGTCTAAATTGCTTTCACTTCTGAAGAGTAAGATGAACCTAGTTCCAAAATTCCAAACGAATTGGAAAACAGTAAAAATTTCAGACCGAAAGTGCTCCATTGAGTAAATATTCCGTACCCAATGACAAACATATGATTTTTGACACAATGAAACTTCTAAATATTTTTTTTGTATTGTGACTTAGTATAGTAAGGCAAAACGACTGCAAATTGAATATGTTTGAGCGCAATCACTTATGGCTCGCTCCTTTGCGCGAATTCGTATGGCGAATCTGTTCGCAAAGTGCGCAAACAAAATTATTGCAAGCAAAAGCAAACCACGCGCAGTTGAGAACACGATTCGTCGTGCGCGTCAGACGCATGCGCAGACTGTCAAACGCATATGTTATATTATTTGCATATTATATTATTTTAATTATGGCACATCTCAGCTGCTTTTCGGCATTAATAATGTAGACATTATATTTTCCTTATTCATAATTATGAATTTATTATATTCTAATATCGCCTTAGCCTATAAGTGAATAGAAATGTTTGGCAAATGACAGCCCTCAATTGTTTTTAATGTCAAACTAAGCTTCAAATATTTTCAAGGGCAAACAATGATAAGCGGTTTTTTGTAATTTTTTCTATTTATTTCTACAATTTAACTATATTTCTATGAATCAAAACATTCTAAAAAATTTCCCGTACAAACTTCAGGAAGATTCATGAAAATCCGAATTATAGTTTAGGAGGAAATATGAAACTTACATTGTTACAGAAGAATTTTATATATAAGATATATATATATATATAAACATTTATATAATATGTGTGTGTATGTTTTAGATGAATTTTTCCGTGCGGTTAAAATTTGTACTGGAAATGTTCTAACAAAGCATGTAGTAAATACAGTATTCGCAATATTTGATAATGATGGTGATGGGTTGTTGAGTTATCAAGAATTTGTTGCCATAATGAAAGATCGATTACATAGAGGCTTCAAGGTAAAATATATTCTTGAATACACAAATTGAATACAATATTTTCCATATCAAAAAAAAATCTATACAAAGTATTATATAATATTTTCAATAATTTTCAGTCTGGTGCCAGAAGTGAAGGTTGGGATGCTTTTAAGATATGTTTGAAAAACGAAATGAAAAAGAATACATAATTTTTTGAGTTTTCCTACTTGACTGAGTTAGTTCTAGTCTAGGTGTTGATAATGAATAAGATTTAATGATTTTTATATTAAAGTTAAGTATTCATAATATGTATTTATAATTGTTATTGCTATATCTACTTTTTGTTTGCAATGGTAATTTCTATAAACTTTAATATATATATATATATATATATATATGTGTGTGTGTGTTTTTGTATATTTAAATTAAATATATCTTTATTACTACATAAATGATTATTTACATGGTCTGTATTACAGGGATACTTGTAGTTAAATTAACTTTCACTTGTAATTTAATGAACACTCAAGGACAATATAAAAATGTATTCTTTATATCCTTTTCAATAATAATACTTATTTTTTGTTGAAATTTCAGTTTCAACACGGCTACATATTGACATTCGATGTATCTCGATTAGTACTATTGTTTGTCAGTTTTGTGCGACGATCGGCCAAGCCGTCTTTAAATTTACGTCTACGTTTTAGCCCGCAAGTCTGAATCGATTTTGAAAATTCAAAAACCGTTCGATAGATATTGGTTGGGAATCGTGCTGATTAGTTTTTGGTAGAGATCGGCCGGGCCGTTTTCTTGTCGCGTTTGCTCAAAAACGCCTGAACTGATTTCAGAAATTTAAAAACCATTTGATGTATCTCTTTGAGGATTAACGTATCGCAGAATTGTACGACGATCGGCGGAGCCGTTTCTTTGTAATTTGGAAAAAGGTGTTAAACTTATCGTCCACATTTAAGCTCATACTACCGAATCAATTTTAAAAAATCAATAACTGTTATATAGAATATAACATATAGAATTTTATAGAACTTAATAAAATATTACGGCCTTACGACAAGTAATTTAATTTTAAAAATTCATCAAAGTTTGAGAAAATTAGTAGTTCTTTATGACCATTTGATGAAATTAAAATTAGACGATTTGCTTGGTACAATGATAGAGTACATGGTCTTAATGAACATACTAAACAATTAAAGTCCTACAAAAAACTGGCTCAGTTATAAAAATTATTGATTTTTCGAAAATTTGCTTTTAAAAAATACACCGACCGGGATGACGTGTTCGATTTGCAATAATGTGTCGAAACATGTGGAGTTTTGATATGTTTTGAATTGAGCAAAAAACTTTTTTCCAAAACAATTTGTTTCTCAAAAAGTGGAAAAGTGGTAAACCGTGGCAGGTTACAGAGGAAAATTTTTGTCCATATTAAATTTAATTTAATTAATAAATATATCGAACTTGCTACCACGTCCTCACCAATGACTCCCACCTTCTAACGCGCGACGCCACCACAATCACATTACAAAACCGTCACAAAGTAGGTGATAATGTATATTTTAAACGAAAATAGACTAACAGGTCAATATGGTCAAAAAAAGTTGGGTTGCTATGGCATGTGTTGGCGTAATTGGTAGAGTGATGGCTTCGTACCAAAAGAGTACCGAGTTCGAATCATATCTCCAGTCATAAAACTGAATTCAGCAGTACGACTAACGTTGTGGTATTTATTCATTGTTGAATAACACAAATGTAATATTTAGATATAACAAACTAACAAGTCATGAGACCGAAGAAAAGCAGAATCCATGTGACCTGTGTTGGCGTAATTGGTAGAGTGATGCCTTTGGAAATTGTAAAATAATTTTACTGAAAATTTCAAGCTAGCAACGGTTACCATGACAAGGGTACATGGTAACCGTTGCTACCTTGAAATTTTCAGTAAAATTATTTTACAATTTTCGTGGCCATGTAACCGTTGCAAATGGAAAAAATCACATAAAATCAGTAAAAACTTGTATATAGTCGGTTCAAATTTTTTGGGCTAAAATTTTTTGCACCAAAATTTTTTTCCCTAAATTTTTTGGACTAAAATTTTTTTGACCAAAATTTTTTTGACCAAAAATTTTTTTGATCAAAATCTTTTTGACCAAAAATTTTTTTTGACCAAAATTTTTTTGACCCAAATTTTTTTGACCAAAATTTTGTTTCGCAAATTTTTTTGACCAAAAATTTTTTTGTCCAAAATTTGTTTGTCCAAAAATTTTTTTGACTAAAATTTTTTTGACCAAAAATTTTTCTGCCCAAAAATTTTTTCGACCAAAATTTTTTTGACCAAAAATTTTTTGACCAAAATTTTTTGTCCAAAAATTTTTTTGACCAAAATTTTTTAAATTTTTTGGACCAAAATTTTTTACCCAAAAATTTTTTGGACCAAAATTTTTTTTCCAGAATTATTTTTGAGCAAATTTTTTTGGCCAAAATTATTTTTCAAAAATTTTTTTTAATTTTTTTGACCAAAATTTTTTTTAAAATTTTTTAGGCCAAAATTTTTTTTCCAAAAATTTTTTTGACCAAATTTTTTTCCCAAATTTTTTTCCCAAAATTTTTTTAACCGAAATTTTTTGACCAAAGTTATTTATCCCAAATTTTATTGACGAAAAATTTTTTTGTCCAAACATTTTTTTTAAATTTTCTGGGCCAAAATTTTTTGGACCAAAATTTTTTTTCCAAAAATTTTTTTGACCAAAATTTTTTTTCAAAAAATTTTTTGACCAAAATTTTTTTTAAATATTTTTTTTTACCAAAATTTTTTTTCCGAAATTTTTTTGATCAAATTTTTTTTTCCAAATATGTTTTTGACCATAATTTTTTTGACCAAAATTTTTTTCCCAAATTTTTTTTCCCCAAATTTTTTGGACCAAAACTTTTTGGACCAAATTTTTTTTTCCAAAATTTCTTTCGACCCAAATTTTTTTAACCAAAAATTTTTTTGGCCAAAAATTTTTTGAATTAAAATTTTTTTTTAAATTTTTTGGGCCAAAATTTTTTTTTCCAAAAATTTTTTGGACCAAAATTTTTTTTCCAAAAATTTTTTTGCTCAAAATTTTTTTGTCCAAAATTTTTTGACCAAAAATTTTTTTCAAAAAAATTTTTTTACCCCAATTTTTTTGACCAAAATTTTTTGTCCAAAAATTTTTGACCAAAATTTTTTTTCAAAAATTTTTTTGACCAAAAAATTTTTCTCAAAAAAATTTTCCCAAAAATTTTTTTACCCAAATTTTATTGACCAAAAATTTTTTTGTCCAAAAATGTTTTTTAAATTTTCGGGGCCAAAATTTTTTTTCCAAAAATTTTTTTGACCAAAATTTTTTTTCAAAAATTTTTTTGACCAAAATTTTTTTTCTAAAAATTTTTTTCCCCAAAATTTTTTTGACCAAAATTTTTTGAACAAAAATTTTTTTGAACAAAATTTTTTTTTTCAAAATTTTTTTTCAAATTTTTTTTGACCAAAATTTTTTGACCAAAATTTTTTGTCCAAAATTTTTTGACCAAAATTTTTTGAACAAAAATTTTTTTGACCAAAATTTTTTTTCTCAAAATTTTTTTTGACCAAAATTTTTTGACCAAAATTTTTTGACCAAAATTTTTTTGACCAAAATTTTTTTTTTCAAAATTTTTTTGACCAAAAATTTTTTTGACCAAAATTTTTTTGACCAAAATTTTTTGAACCAAAATTTTTTTGACCAAAATTTTTTTACAAAATTTTTTCTGGCCAAAATTTTTTTTTCCAAAATTTTTTTGACCAAAATTTTTTCGACCAAAATTGTTTCCCAAAATTTGTTTTTCCAATATTTTTTGGACCAAAATTTTTTTGACCAAAAATTTTTTTGACCAAAATTTTTTAGACTAAAATTTTTTTGACCAAATTTTGTTTGACCAAAATTTTTTTCCCCAAAATTTTTTTTCCCAGAATTTTTTTTCCCAAATTTTTTTGACCCAATTTTATTGACCAAACATTTTTTTGTTCAAAAATTTTTTTAAATTTTCGGGGCCAAAATTTTCTGGACCAAATTTTTTTTTCCAAAAATTTTTTTGAGCAAGATTTTTTTTCAAAATTTTTTTGACCAAAATTTTTTTTCTAAAAATTTTTTTGACCAAAATTTTTTTTCCCAAAATTTTTTTGACCAAAATTTTTTGAACAAAAATTTTTTTGAACAAATTTTTTTTTTCAAAATTTTTTTTTGATCAAAATTTTTTGAACAAAAATTTTTTTGACCAAAATTTTTTTTCTCAAAATTTTTTTTCAATTTTTTTTTTGACCAAAATTTTTTGACTAAAATTTTTTTTCTCAAAATTTTTTTGACTAAAAATTTTTTTGACCAAAATTTTTTTGACCAAAATTTTTTTTTCCAATATTTTAGGGACCAAAATTTTTTTGACCAAAAATTTTTTTGACCAAATTTTTTTTGACCAAAATTTTTTTCCCCAAAATTTTTTTTCCCAGAATTTTTTTTCCCAAAATTTTTTTCACCAAAATTTTTTTTCCCAAAATTTTTTTTCCCAAAATTTTTTTGACTAGTCCTTCTGTCAGTTATTATTAACATGGCACGAGATGGCGCCAAACATAAATGCATTCGGCATTGATGCATACAGCACACGCTTCGAAATACTGCAAGATCGATTATGAAATAACGACCTTGCAGCTGTTTCATTGCGCTTAGTACTCTAGTACTGAGCGTCAACTCAACTTTTTGTGTTGGGTTTCATTTTGTTCAAATGAGCAATCAATTCAATGTGATTGGGTCGTCTCATCTGGACTTTTTTGGACCAAAATTTTTTGGGTCAAAATTTTTTTGGGCCAAAATTTTTTTGATCAAAATTTTCTTAACAAAATTTTTTTGACCAAAATTTTTTTGACAAAAATTTTATGGGTCAAAATTTTTTTGACCAAAATTTTTTTGGGCCAAAATTTTTTTGACCAAAATTTTTTGGGTCAAAATTTTTTTGGGTCAAAATTTTTTTGACCAAAATTTTTTGGGTCAAAATTTTTTGACAAAAATTTTATGGATCAAAATTTTTTTGACCAAATTTTTTTTGACCAAAATTTTTTTGACCAAAAATTTTTTGGGTCAAAATTTTTTGGGCCAAAATTTTTTTGACAAATTTTTTTTGGGCCAAAATTTTTTTGACCAAA